AAAACCAAATTGGCAACAAAAGCCCCGCCCTCAAAACGCAAGCAAAAATGAAAGAAGGGCCAGCCCAAAAAGGGGAAAAGGAAGGCAAAAAAGGAAGAAGTGAAAAACTTTTTTTCTAAGGTTTATTTATTTAATTTTTTGGCTGTCGTGGGTCTTTGTTGCTGCGTGCTGCCTTTCTCTAGTTGCAGAGAGTGGGGGCAACTCTTGGTTGAGATGCGTGGGCTACTCTTTGTGGTAGCTTCCCTTGTTGTGGAGCACAGGCTCTAGGCACACGGGGTTCGGTGAGTGCAGTGTGTGGGCTCAGTAGTTGTAGCTCTAGAGGGCTCTAGAGAGCAGGCCCAGTAGTTCTGGTGCTCAGGCTTAGTTGCTCCACCGCATGCGGGGTCCTCCCAGACCAGGGATCAAACTGGTGTCCCCTGTGTCGCAAAGCGGATTCTTAACCACTGGACCACCAGAGAAGCGCATGAGTTGCTAAGTGTTGAAGTTGGACAGTGGATATCTGAGAGTTACTTTTGTACATTTTTGAAAATTTTCTATAGTAAAAGATTTTTAAATTTTATATGGATAGAAAAGTTAAATATATATTTAATATATACATTTATGCACTACATAATATACATGTATTTATAATTACTATGTATCATATGTAATGTAATGTTGATGTAAATGATATATACAAATAAGTATATATCAGTATACATCTGACTCTGACCCCCCCTCACCACATGGCAGCCCCTGCTTGCCCCCTAACTACTCTTTTGCCCCCCACAACACTCACTGTCCCCTGCACATCCTGTGTTCCCTTGTTTGTGCATCCTGTCCCCCCAGTAGAAGTAACCTTGTTTTTTCCACCATGAGTCCCCAGCTCCTAGAAAAGTGTGTAGCACCTAATAAAGGCCTCAGGAGATCCTTGAATGAATGGAGCTCCATTTCACAGAGGGGCAGTTGAGACTCTGCCTAAGTCAAGGGCACAGCTGGGATTTGAAACCAGGGCTGTTTGGATGCTGAAGTCATTGCCCTGAACCCTTGGAGAAGGTAAGGGGAATGGGGTTCTGGGTGTAGACCCAGGGAGGACCCCTGACAAGGGGACAAGGAAAGGAGGGAGGCAGGCTGTGGACTTGGTCTTTGCCAAGCGGATGCTAAAGCAGTCCCTTCTCCTGAAAGAGAGGGAAGCCAGCTGAGGAGTCTGCAGGAGCTGTCCATCTGCCCCCAGGGCACCTCAGTCTCAGAGCTGGGCTGGCAACCCACCCTTTCCTCTCTCTTCCTGCTCTGATCCCCTTGGCCCCACCTCCAGGCAGGTTGGGCTAGGTGAAGATTCCCAAGAACAGGACATCTTCCTCTATGTTTGGCAGTATAGGATTTGATTGGTTCAAGAAGGTCCAGCCTAAGTGGGGAATAGTGTAGGACCTCCTACGTCTTGGCCCCTACAGAAGGCCCCCTCCTCTCCTGAGTCAGCCAGCCCCAGGGAGCAGTTCGCCCTGAGCTGAGGGATCCTGGGCTCTGCCTCTCATGTGTACTGCTGGCCCTTCCCAGCCCCAGATTTGATCAGCTCCTTCATGGACGTGGCATCAATTCCATGTCCTGTTGCTTTATTTTTCTGATTATATTCGTCTTTGTCCCCCAGTGGGAAATGAACGTATGCTCATTGTTCATAGAAAATGTGGGAAGACAGAGATTAGAAGAAAGAAAAGGCAATGGATGAGAAACTGCTTTTCTAGACCGTAACCCCTTCTGGCCCAGGGCCCTCTGGTCCACCAGAGGCCATCAGCTCGCTCTACAGGGTTTGCTACAGAAGCTCAGGCCTTTCCACCCTCGTAGGTTTCAGGAAGAGCCCTAGGGCCCCCACGCTGGTCCAAGTGATGCAGAGAGCAGAGCTGACGAGAGTTACTATATTTAATTTTGGCGTCTGCGTCACTGGTGACCACACCACACAGCAGCATTTGCCCAGGCAGCGCGGGCTGGGGGCGTTTCTGAACGATGCTTTGAGAGAATCACTTTCCACAAGAGAAGACACTCAAGAGGGGAAGGGAGAGAACGCAACAGAAAGTGAGGTCGTAAGTAGAAAATTGCTTCTGGGATTTCAAATGGCTTCGTCATGGGGCCCTCCCTTGCTGCCGAGAAATCAGTTGATCTGGGAAAGTTTGTTGCAAACCCTGTGCTCTGTTGCTTTTGGGTGGAGCCGAGAAATGAGTGAAGATAATGAGGCTTTATGACTTTTATTTTTCAGAGTAGGAGTGGGCAGCATGTGTGGGAGGGGTGATAACAGCCAGCAGTTCTGACACCAGCTTGGACCTCTGGAAAGGATGGCTCCCTGGCCTGTGTATGCCAGGCCGGGCCGCCCTGTTTGGACACAGTCAGCCTGTACTTGTCCGGGTCTTCTTAGAACGAAGTCAGCTCAGGGGAGGAGTGGGTTTTGAGTTTGTTCAAACTGACCAGCAAATTCAGATCATGAGCAGAGGGCACTTCCCCATTGATCATAATGAAAAAGTGATAAGCTGATGAATTCGATAAACCCCAGCCTTCAAGCTGCTTGGTCACAAGGAAACAAGATGCAGGCCCTTATCCTCCTGGGTCCTGAGCAGTTCAGACGGCCAGCCTCAGAGAAACCCCCAAGGTGACTCGGAATGTTTTCTGACACCTCATCTGAGCAGCAAACAGAGGTGTTTGGCACCAAGTTCACTGGAAACCCGAGTGTGTGTCTCACTTCTCACTTGAGCCCCAGCCCCTCTTCTAGTGAAACCTCCCAGGCCTGGGGTTCCTGGGGTGCCAAGGGGCTCCCCACCCTGGGCCCCACCGCTGCATCTCCCTCCCACTCACCAAGCATTCTGTCTCTTCCGATGCCCCTTCTCTCTGGGCCCTGCTTGGGGTTTACCTTGTGCATGAAAGATGTGAGGCCATGTGGTTAGAGAAAACTTCCAGCAAGTACTCAGTGGGTCAGTCCCCAGGTGGTGATGCTCCCAGCCACAAGAGCTGACACATAAATTTTTTTCCTCTTTCTTCCTTATCTCATTCCTGACTGGCCCACCTTCCTGTTGCCAACAGCAGAGACTTGATTCTGTGGCTCTGTGAGGTCTGTCATCTCTGGAAGCCCCCAGCCCCCTCTGGCTCACCGCGCACCCCTGGAGACCACAGGCCCCTCTGGGGACAGTCTCAGAGGAGGTGCAGGCAGGGAGCTGCTGTTGAGAATGTGGCGCACTGTGGACCCCTAGTGGTGGGGTCCAGGCAGCCCTGTCGAGACTGTCTGTGCATCCCTGCAGCCGGGCCCTCCTGAGTGTGTGGTGCGGGAAACCCTAAGGGGTCCTCCCCTAGGTCAGCCTCTGTTCCAGCCTTTGTTCTCAAGAAATTCACATGGAATTTTCACTGGGAGTCTTTTCATCTTCGTTTTGGACAGACCAATGCCCTGCTTGAGCAGGGAGGGATGTGGGTCAGAAGTGATGCCACCAGAGAATGGATCACTAAGTATTGTGTTAAAAAAGAAAAAAAAAAAATCACCCTAGAGAAGGAAATTGCAACCTGCCCCAGTGTTCTTGCCTGGAAAATTCCATGGACAGAGAGCCTAGTGGGTTACAGTCCATGGGGTCTCAAAGAGTCAGCTGTGACTGAGCATATCAGCACATACTGTGATGTAAAATGGGTCTTTGCTTTTGTATTCCTACCAGAAGAGTTTGGGGCTTCCAATTCTTCCATATCCTTGCCAATATTGTGTGTTTAGTCTTTTTTAAACTTTTGACTTTTAAATAAATGTGTGGCATTAAAAAGATCAATCTTCCATAAATAATACTCTTTTGACTTTATAAATCTTCAAATTTCTGGATGAAGGAGGATGGCAGAGATCTTACTCCTACTCCCACCCTGACATTCGAGCTTCCCCCCTCCCAGGGTAGAGCACCCTTCTCCAGACGCCATTGTTTTGTTGTTCAGTCGCTAAGTTGTGTCCGACTCTTTGCAACTCCATGGTCTGCACCCCATTGTTTAAAGACTTCTTTCTGCTACTAAGCTTTGAGTACGTGTGGTGTCTTGGTCATCACTGTCCCAGGCTGGGGAGGTGCGGGCCTCAGGCAGTCCTCAGCAAATGCGGTGGCACTTGACAGGTTCTGAGACCTCTTGGGCGCAGAGACTGTCAGTTCCCACCTTGGACAGCCCATGGGACACTCAGCTCCCGTGCCTACTCCCAGGTCTTCCCTCTCTGGGCTGAGCATCCCCAGGTCCCTGCACAGTTGATTGTGGCTTCCTCCCTCACCTCTGTCTAGGTGCAAATGAGGGGTTCATTCTATTAGTGAGTGGTCCCTGGAGCAGTGCACTGTGGTCATCTGCACCCTGGACAGGTCCTGCCGTGGTCTCTGTTGCCTGAATCACGCACGGCATAAACTCTCCCTGATCCTGAGTGACGGTCTCCACTGACTTGTGAACATCACTGTAGATGTTCCCCCAGGGTTCTGGGCTCCCCAGGAAGTGTGCCTGCCTTCCACTCAGCATCTGAGACTGGTCTCTGATGACCCACCACCTATTGCAAGAAGCATCTTGTGCTTTCAGAGATGCACAGTGTAAACCATTGCTGGTGGGTATGCCCATTAGCTGTGGCTTGCTGTGGCCAGCTGCTTCCTGCTCTCCATGTGCTGGCCTTGACTAAAGGAGAAGCAGAAAGACCTGCTTGGGGGGGCAGTCTGACCCAGGCCCCGCGACCTTGGCTCTCCACCTCGGTCACTCCACAGACCAGGGACCACAAGTCAGTGGTACCCTTTGTTCACAGAGAAGGTGAGTGTGCACTGTCTCATGACAAGAGGTGTCCAGAATTGAATGGGCTGTCCCTAGAAAGTAAGTAGTGAACTACCCATCAGGGGAGGTGCCCAGACAGGCTGGTGAAAATATTATAAAGGTCGTGGATTCAGGCAAGATGGCATTTGAACAGAGGAAGGCAGGGTAGTTAAATATGTGAGCTATGGAGTTGGAGTAGGTTTGGGGTTCACACCCTGGCATTGCTCCTGACCAGCTGTGGGACCTTTGGTAAGCCACCTCCTCTTCCCTGAACATCATAGGGTGATACCAGAAGGCGAGTGGGTGGTGCCAGACAGAGGCTGGCCACCCATCAAGAGCTGTGGTCATGAGACCACTTCCGAGGTCTCTGCCTGCTCCAGACATCCTCTTTGAACCCCGACACCCTGGCCCATGCTTCCTCCACCTCCATGTGGGTGGTGGTGGGGGAGCTTCCTCCTGGCCAGGTCTCCTCCCCCCCAGGGGTCTGCTTGTTTTCTTTCAGCCTAGGGCTCGTCCCTCACTCCCCCTCCACTCTTATTCTAGGCCCCCTCCTCCAGCTGGCCTGCTTCCCAGAGAGCTCCTCAGAGTTTTAAGAACACAGGCCAGTATCCCCAAAAGCCCAAAATAAACAGCAAACACCATCAGATCTCTTGTCACCATCTTTATTTTAGCTTTTAGCTTGACAAAATCAATGAAACAGTTTATTCAGTGACCCCCCCAACTCAGTCCACACATACCATATGCAGTGTTCTAGACTTCTATATATTATTAACTCTTTGATAACATATTTTAATACTTAACTTTAAATACAAGGAAAAATAATAAATTACTTGGTTGAGGGCCCACTGCTGGCTGTCAGACAAGAGTGGCTACTATGGCCCTCTCTCCGGTCCTCTGCCTTGGCCCCAGGACCCTAGTGAGGTAGCAGAAGTTTGCATACAGTACTTACTGCCAGGGATTCCTAATGCCCACTGCTTTAGTGCTGGAGCCCCAAGGCTCCAAGTTCTGGCAGTAACAGTCCCTCCTAACCCCAGTACAGACAAAAACACTTGTTTAAATAACACACAATAATAAATAAGGCCAAGAAGGAACGTGCCTGGGCTGCCCTCTGCCTCAGTTGCCCCTGTGTAAAGCAGGTGACTCCTCCACCAGGTGTCTAACAAACACTACAGTTTGTTCTGAGGAGGGAGCGGTCATGTGGGGCAAGGTCCACCCTTGTCCACCGAGTCCTGGATGGAGGAGGCCTGCAGGGCTGAGCCCTGGATATCAAGGTCCAGGGCAGCTGAAGTTGGCTAGGCTCAAGGCTGGCAGCGCAGGCTCAAGTCTAAGCTAAGGACATCTTATCCCCCCTCCCTAACCCTCCTTTAGTCTCCCCAAGGAATTTCTGACATCTGAAAGAAAAATAAATCTGCAACTTAGATGGTCAGGATCTGCCTCTGCAGATGATAATGCTAGCTTTTCATATTTCAGTTGGATCTTCCATTGCGAAAAGCAATCCTTGAATGTTTGAGCAGGTCTTTTAAAAACTGGGCCACTTCAATTTTGGTGTCTCGGACGTAGTCACTGGAAACCTGCTGCAAGGCAAAGAGGCCAGCATGTTGGTGGGACGCCAGAGTGAGGACGGTCAGCATCCATCAGGGGCTTTCCACTCACCTACTCACCGACTGGTTCATTCTTCACAAAAGCCCCCATGAGGTGGGTACTGTTATCACCCACATTTTACAGACGTGGAACTCAATGAAGCTCAGGTAGGAGTTGGGAGCCCTCAAGCCCATGTCTTGGAAATCCCAAAGCCATGTCCCTCCTTCCACAGTGGGCCCACCCCTTTGTGGACACATGCCTCAGATGCTCAGCCAGGTTCCTCTGGGGCTCCCAGGGTGAGCCCAGGGCTGGCAGAAGTGGGTGCCAGGTCAAAGGAAGGCGGGGCCTTACCTTAGCTGAGGGCTGGTGAGAACAGAGCGCACTCAGCATCCTCTTGGTCCTTTGGATGACGCTGCAGTTGGAGATGCTGATCAAGGAGTCCAGGGCTGCACAGTACTGTGGGGGGTGGGGGAAAACACCAGGGAGTCAGGCTGAGCTCAGTGAGTCTGTAGGAGGAGGGGAACTGAGCGGCCTGGTGGAGACAGGTCTGGCTGGTAGGGGAGCCCAGATTATGAGGGGGCAGAGAGTGGCTCTTGCAGCTTGCTTGGAACCCCCCAGTCATGTCAGCAAGGCTCAGAAAAGACCTCAGAGGGCTGCAGCCCTGGCCGCGTCCCCGCGGTGTTGGGGGTCCTCACCATGCTGTTCGTCAGGTTGAGGCTCCACACCATGCTGCCGTTGCACAGCGGCACCTGAGGGAGCAAAGACAGCAGGCTGAGTGCTGGCAGGGTCCCAGGCCAGGCCTCCACGGCCATCAGGCCCCACAAGCATTCCCAGGACAGCAGGGGCAGGCCCGGGCCCTTCAGTGTTCCCGAGCTTCACTGCCCGCTCTGCACAGTGGGGGAGACCCCTGTCCAGGGGCTCAGAGCTGAGAAATGCTGAGTGACACGCCAGTGAGCCACAAGCCTTGCCTGAAGCTTGCCATAGCCAGGGCGGGGGGCAGGTGACACTGGCGGGGGCCTGCAGGGAAGGCCCAGCGCTGGGGAGGGGGAGTGCAGAGGTGCCCGACCAACCTGATGGAAGGTGGTGGGAATCTGGTCTGGAAACGACCTGCCTTCTGAACTGGGGATATACAGTTCAGAGCACGGGCACTCTGGTGTCAACCAGTACTGGCTTGAATCTGACTTTCGTCATTTAACCTCACTGATGCTTAGTAAAATGGGGTATCATATGTGTCTCTTGAGGTGGTTGGCAGCAATGTCATAAGATGTAAAGCCCCAGAAATGCGCCTGGCACATTATTAGTGCTCAGAAAGTGTGGGCCGTCACCACTAGGGAGAGGAGCTGACCCCACTAATGCATTCTTCCATAAGAATGGGCTTAACTAAGATGCTGTGAATAATGGCCCCACCATGGTGTTCAGATCTAGTTGGCAAATGCCAAATAGTTCTAGGAGGGTGCCAGCTCTTCTCTTCTTTCCTCTGTTCCAAAACCACTGAGCAGGAGCTGACCGTGGCAGGCAGGGCCAGGCCAGGGGAGCAAGTGGTCCCTGGGGTCTCTGCCATATTCCTTCATGGGTCCATCCATATTGCTGCACCTCACCCCCAGCCTGGTTCCTCTCCCTCAAGGCCAGACTCACCTCGCAGTCCTCAGGGCTTCTTCCTTGAGAGCCCCCCACCCCTGCCCCCTCAGAGCTGGGACCCTGGCCCACAGGCACTCACCTTCGGGTTGTGGGTGATATTAACCAGCTCTTCAATGAGCTCCTTGAGGGCTGTAGGGTGAGGCACAGGGCCCGGGGAGGTGAGGCCACCAAAGCAGGTAAGAACAATGACCGCAGTCAGTAAGAGCGCCATGGAGCCTAGAACAGCACAGGAAGATATGAGAAGCAGACACATAGGCTGGCCTAAGCTGAGTGTCTTGTGGCCTTAGCCTCTTGTGGCAGCTTTTATAGGCCCAAGTGGTGACGCCTCACACCCTGGTCTCCGCTTTGTCGGGCACTATCTACAAACCACATCTTTACTCATCTTAATTTTACTTTGTGGAAAATCCAGTGTCACATAAAGGAAAGAATTTGATTTCTTGTGGACTTGTGACTGAGAAGGGTCTACGGCAGGTTCAAGATCTGGATGAACTTACTACAGGGGTGAACGAGAGGACCCTGAGAGCAGCCTGATGTCAACTATGCCAGCTGGAACTCCAGCACTTTTAGTGAGTGCCCACCCAGCTCCTGTCCGCAGATCTCTTTGGGTCACCAGAAATGCTTGAGACAATGCTCTGATCACAGTCTACCAGATGTGGGAATCTGGGGGGATTATTTTTTCATTGAACAGTTCTGTTACATTACCAAAACAATGCTTGCTCTGGATACAAAATTCAAACAGGATAAAAGAAGAGTGATGTTCATTTCTTTTAACCCATCTGATTCCCTGTTGCCCCAGTGAAGGACTGTGGAATTTCAGATTCCCAGGTCTCCATTGAAAGACCCTTGCGGGAGCTTTCCTTTGAAAGGTTGTTTTGCTGATACCTCTCAGTATGTGCAGCCTGGACACTGGGTGCCACACCCAGCCTTCAGTGTGGGTTCATCTTGCTGGGAAACCTTCAGAAGGCAGCGCTGGCAAGAGGTGGACCCAGCCTTCGCCCTGGAGAGGACCTGTTGGAGAGTAACTGTCCCCAGTGCCATTGAGACCTGGGGCGACCCCCTCTCTACACCAGTATCTGTGAGACCAACCCGTACTCTCTGAGTCATCAAGTTTCCCTGGCAGACTGAAGGCTGTGGAGGGTGACTCCTGGGCCTGCCCCACTCTGGGGTCCCCTGTGGGCAGCCCACCCCCTGAGGGGACACTGGAAGGGTAGCCATTTCCCTGTTCTCCCCTCATTTCTCTAGAAGTCCTTCAGAAACTCATGCAGCTGAGGCCCCAGTATTTGCCTATCGGGCGCTGATGTCAAGCTTGCTCCTTCACCCACTTCCTCCCCTGAGCCAGTGCCTCCCCCACTAGGCCCCCTCTCTGTCTGCTCTGGCTGCCTCTCTGTCCTGTGCCAGCGGGGCTCAACCTGCCCACAGGGTCCTCTAAGGGACGCTGGGGCTGTCACTCCTGCTCAGAAGAGAAAGCCCAGCCTTGCCCACCCTCTGCTCTCACTGGTAACATGGTTGTCACCCTCTCTTCTCTCCCAGCCCCAGGCTTCCTAGTGTAACTGAGACCCTAAGGCCTGGAAGCCAGGCCCTGCCTTTTGTGGCTCGCGGGTGCCTGGAGTGCTTGTGGGACCTGTTTCTTCGTCTGCAGAACAGGGTCAGTAGCATCTCCTGGGGGAGTGGGGGTCTCTGTGTTGGGGGAAGGAATGGGGAACCACCATGGCCTGTGCCAGGATGAGTGGAATGCCCCCTCCCCCCTACGAACAGCACAACCAAGCGGGGAGCGGCGGGCAGGGGCGCCCCCGCGCGTGGGAGAAGGCCCGCGGTCGCAGCGATGCCCCGGAGATAGGCGCCGCCTTATGTAATGGGAGATGGGGCTGATAAACGGGATCCGCGCAGCTTGGGTCCCCTCTGGCTGCAGGCGTCCGCTGGTGAGGGAGGGAGGGGTAGGAGTGCAGACTCGCTTCTCCGCGGAGTCGCGAAGCACCCACTCCTGCCCCTGGCCCTCGTCCGCGCGTGCTGGAGGCCCGACGAGAGAGTGGCAAGGGTGGGAGCAAGCGGACTGAGCGCCAGGCTGGGGCAGGGTGCCTGTGCGCACCAGCTAGGGGGACGGCGCCTATGTCCCCGGGGCGGCCCGCCCCTCCTGAGCGGGCCCTCAGCCCCCGGCGAGCCCCTGCTGGCTAGTCAGTCGGACCGTGATGCTGTTTTGTTTTCAGCGGGGCTCGGTTCACATCCCGAATCGTTGAAATAAACACAACTACAGAAGTGCTGCTCCGGGCATTTGACACAGGTGGCTTGCAACTCTCCACCAGCCACTGCGTTGGCCGCCGGGTCGGCTCGCAGGGCGTGTAGGAGCCGGCCCAGATCCGTGGCCAGGGAAGGGCAGGCTCGGGAGCCTCACTGCCCAGCCCTGGCCACAGATGGGTTAGGACGCCCTTCACTGGGACCAGCCTGCCCTGCGTGAAGTTTTGAAAAACTTCCTTTAACAACTTTTCCTCCCAATTTTGGTTCTGCGTTTGAAAGAAGAGATAACCCAGTCAATTGGAATAAGGCTTAGGCAAGGAGTTTTAATAATGTAAAATTCCTAACTTAATAGATTTTCTTTTTTATGAAAGTTATACGTGCATGTCATTTTTTTAATCAAACAATTTCAGGAGGTTTATTGTGAAATCAGCACTTTTGAGAATTTCCCCATTGGTCTGCATGTCTGGTGAGTGAGGCATGCTGACTGCCCTCCTTTGTTCCCTGCAGTCTTTTTAGAAATGTTTGCATAGCTAACAACCTTGGAAGAGATAGCATCTTCCTCTGAAGCAAAAAGCAGGCAGACTTAAATATCCATTATTAGCAATTCAGGTTGTCCAAGCTCAGACTTCTTATCTTGTAATGCAACTCACTGTGTGTACAGGTACCATATGGCTCTCTTGACATTACTCTGTGAGAACTGGGATTGTGGGAATCTGAAAAAGATAATACTCTAGGAACGTCCCTGGTGGTCCAGCGGTTAAGACTGCCTTCCAATGCAGGGGGTGCATATGCCTTGTGGCCAAAAAAACAGAATATAAACCAGAAGCAATGTTGCAACAAATTCAATAAAGACTTTAAACATAGTCCATATTTTTAAAAAAATCTTAAAAAAAAAAGAGCTAATAGTCTAATACTCGTGCTTCGTCCAATAAACTGTTCTTTGTCTCTGATCTGGGAGTCCTGTGTCTTCTGCCAGCCTCCATGAAACCATGGCAAGCTGACTGGTTAGCATGCAAGTGGGATAAAAATCTCAAAGCCTTCAGTTCTGACAAATAATTCCCTGCCTCCGCATTGGCCTCCAGAGGAACTATGACCTTAACTATTTCTTTTGATGTTTACCTCCATGTTTCTAGATTTCTTGGTTTTCAGATGCAGGCATTATCTGTGGTTTACAATGAATATTTAATTCTTTCTCCTCCTTGCCATCCTCCTTCCATTGCATCATTCCTTTTTTTCCCCTCATTCTACCAATATACATAGATCATAATTTGGAAATTGGGCAAAAGTTTTATTGTTTGCATAATTATGCTAATATATTCTCTGCTAAAGCGTATAATTAAGATTAATTATCTCTCAAAAACTTTTTTTCTAATAATAATAGTCTTATTTGTCCATCTGCTTAGTTTGCATAATGTCCCTCTCAGTGATTTAATCCTAAATTCTCAGCCACTTACATAAATCTCCTTTCAAAAGATTTGGGTAAATCAGTTGTTCTCACAATTTCATCTTCCCAAGAAAGTCTCCCCTGGAGCCTGCTGACCTGCTCTGACATGGACACTGCCATCTGCCGTGGGAATCCCCTCTCCTGGCTCCTTTGTGGCTCTCCTACTCCTTGTTTCCCTGGTCTTCCTCTTTCTTGGGAGGAACACATCCAAAAAACCACAGAATTTCAGAAAAGAAGTAATTTTCCTTTAGAATTTTGAATACCTGTGCTACTGTCTCTTAGCTTCCAATATTGCTGTTCAGAAGTCCAATAGCATTTTGAATCCAGATCTTTTCTAACTCTCCTTCTAGAAATTTGTAGGAAAATTTTTTGGTTCTCATGCTCCAAATTTCACAATGATGTTTCTTGATGTGGCTCTATTTTCATCTGTGATGCCAGACATAGTGGGCTCTTTCAAACAAACATGTCTCTAAGTTTTAGGAAATTTTCTTTCTTAAAAAAATTTTTTTTTTAATTGAAACATAGTTGATTTACCATACTTGGTTAGTTTCAGATGTATAGCAAAGTGATTTGGTTATACATATAACCTCTTTAAAAAAATGTTTCACATGTACAGCAAAGTGATTTGGTTGTACATATAACCTCTTTTAAAAAATCTTTTCCATTATGCTGTATTTAAAGATATTGAATATAGTTCTCTGTGCTATACAGTAAATCCTTGTTGATTATCTAATTTATGTATAGTAATGTGTATATGTTAAATCCATGCTCCTAATTTATCCTTCCCTATCCTTTCCCTTAGGTAACCATAAGTTTGTTTTCTGTGTCTGTGGGTCTGTTTCTGTTTTGTAAATAATTCATTTGTACTGTTTTTTAGATTCCACATTTAAGTGATGTCATAATATTTGTATTTCTCTGACTTATTTCACTTAGTGTGATAATCTCTAGGTCTATCCAAGTTTCTGCAAATGGCATTATTTCATTCTTTTTAATGGCCCAGTAGTATTCCATTGCACATATGTACCACATCTTTATCCATTCACTGTCCATGGACACTTAGGTTGCTTTCATGTCCTGGCTATTGTAAATAGTGCTGCTATACACATTGGGGTGCATGTAGCTTTTCAAATTAGCTTTTGTCTTTTCTGGATATATGCCCAGGAGTGGGATTGCTGGATCATCTGGTGACTCTATTTTTAGTTCTCCATAGTGGCTGCACCAATTTACATTCCCATCAATAGTGCAGAAGGGTTCCCTTTTCTCCACACCCTCTCTAGCATTTATTATTTGTAGACTTCTTGATGATGGCCATTCTGATAAGAAATTTTAAACCTCTTATTATTTTATTTTTAAAAATAATTGTAAAGCCATTGCTGTTTTAAAAAATAATTTTATTTTTTAGAGCAGTTTTAGATTCTTGGCAAAATCAAGTAGAAAGTATAGAAAGTTTCTGTATACTCCTTAATCTCACACATATGTCACCAACATCCCCCACCAGAGTACATTCATTACAATTGATGAACCTACATGAACACATCATTATCACACAGAGTCCATAGTTTACTTCAGGGTTCACTCTTCGTGTTGTACATTCTATGGGTTTTAAAAAATGTATAATGTTGTATAGTCACTGCCACACACACACATAGTAGTTTAATTGCACTAAATATTCACCCTGTCTTCACTCTAACCCCTGGCTACCACTGATCTCTCTACTGTTTCTATAGTTGTGCCTTTTCCAGAATCATATAGTTGGAATCATACAATATATAGCCTTTTAAGATTGACTTCTTTCACCTAGTAATATGCATTTACGGTTCCTCCAAGTCTTTTCATGGCTTGACAGCTCATTTTGTTTTAGCATGGAATAATATTCTGTTGTCTGGAT